GGGTACAGTTCTTCAGTAAGGACAAGCCTCTTCTCGTTTGTGGCTGCTAGCATGCCATTCCCTGACTGTTGACCTCTCAGCCCCATAGCCCATGGCTTCTTGTCCAGCTCAGGCAAATGTTAAGCAGCTCTTTTAGTTCTGGTGATAAGTGGTTGGAGGTGCCCCCTGCTCCAGGAAACCTCTTCTTGAAGATGCTCAGCTCTAGTTCCATGGGTCAGCACACCTGGCTCCCCTGAAAAAATGCCCAGAGACATGCCACCCCACTCACAAGCCTCCTGAACTCAAGGTTTTACTCTGAGCTGGTAAACCCACCTGCTCTGTCCCGTGCTAGTTTCTTGGGTCTGCTGCCTCCGCTGCCACCATTCTGTGCCTTCTCCCACCACGTCTAGAGTCACAGCTCGCTGTGCCTGGCTGAGGAGGTCCCAAGCACAGCCAGCTTGGGGCCAAAGGAGGCTCTTAATTCTTGGCACTTCCTTCTTGATGGTAGTGAAACCCCTCGATGCCTTTAGGATGGCTCATTTTAAGCCTAGCGGGATGACAAAACTGACTCCAAATTAGGGCTTCATATACCTTATTTACATGGTTATACACTCACAAGGTGCCAGGCCCCCATTTTCATTGTTAGCAAGCGATCCATTCCCCTTGGTGAGCCATATCACATAGTTCACTGCACCGCACACGGTTTATAGAACAGCTATGTCATATGCCAATGAATTATGACAGTCTTAATATCTGGACGTGGTCAGCCTGAGTCAGTGTGGTCTAAAGCTGCTCTCCCGTGAGTGCTTGTGTCCAACATACTGGGAGAATCCTGTGTGCCCGACCAAAACTGCCCCCAGAAGGTTTGCAACTGCTGATTTTTTGACAGTTGCTTGCCAGGCCTTTCTTCCGGTACCTCTGACGAAACTTGAACATCTAATCTCTTCGTTAGCAGTTGAGTGCCTTAAACATTTGCACCATCCAGAGACTCCTTCTGTACCAGGTCCATTCTGCCCACTTGAGGTTTTCTGACCTGTTGAGCCCACATTGTTTTCCTCAATCTGCGCCCCAAGCCAAGCTCATCACCCAGAGGTGTATTTTTAAAAGCGGTGATCTTTCAGAACAATGGAGGAATCTTAGCAGGAGCCAAAACCATATTCACTTTCATGATGAGATTTTATTTTCTGTATTCCCCTCACCCCACTCTCTCCTTCCCTACCCCCACCTCCCACACCCCAACTATCGCTATGATGAGGAGTCTTTAAGAGAGGGGGTGGACTTCACAGTGTTGGCTCTGCCAGCTCCTCCTTGCCAGCATTCTCAGGTCCTTCTGCTCATGTCCTTGCCACTCTGGACTGAATTCTTCAGCCCACAGGCCTATTTGAGGCGGCGAATGCTCCCTGCCCCCACAGGAGGGGTTCTGCTGTCCTTTGGACACCCTTCAGACTGTGGGTTCCTTGAGGACAAAGTGCCAGCCTGTGCTCATTTCTGTCTCCTCCCAGTCCCTGGGTGAACGGCCCTTTGTCAGGTTCTGGAAACTTCCTGGGAGGCCGTACCTTTCCTCCTCCGTGCGGGAACCTCGGAGCCTTAGCAACTAGCCACTGACCAAGAGGGATTAGCAGTTGTTAGACTCCACAAACATTTAATGTGTTAAATGAGGGTCCCAGGCGTCAGCTCCAGAAACAAATTCTAAGCATGACAACAGAAGTGTTGGCACAGGTGCATTTTCCTAATTAGTACACTGTTTGGGGGAATTAGTAAAAATGCTAATGTTTCAAGGATTATTGTTAATAGGAGATGGGGAAGTTATCTCTTTATCTTCACAGCCATATGGTTTACTGCTTGATAAGAGTTTTTTGTGTGTTTTAAGTTTTTTGTTTGTTAGCTTTAGTAAGGACAAAATTATTTGCTTACAGAGCCTGCTATTGATTTTATCATGCAGGTAAGTAGGAAAGGTATTTACTTCAAAGTGACATCTTTGTCCCTTAACACTTTTTTAAATGTTTTTTTTTACTTAAAAGATCATTTTATTTTATTTTTTAAAATCATTTTATTAGGGGCTCATACAACTCTTATCCCAATCCATACATACATCAATTGTGTAAAGCACATTTGTACATCCATTGCCCAAAGGATCATTTTATTGGGAGCTCTTACAACTCTTATAACATCAATTGTGTCAAGCATATTTGCACATATGTTGCCCTTAACATTTTAAAAGAGATCTTATACAGCAGATTTGGCCAATGCAAAACAAGCCAATTTCCTGACCGCTGCTTCCATGAACATTGATTGTGGAGCCAATAAAGTGAAACGCTTTACCACCTCAATCTTTTCTCCATTTATCGTGATGTTTACTGGTTCAGTTGTGAGGATTTTTGCTTTCTCTGGTGAGGTGTGATCCATATTGAAGATTGTAGTGTTTGATCTTCATCAGTTAGTGCTTCAAGTCCTCTTGACTCGATTCAGCAAGCAAGGTTGTGTCATCTGCATAGGACACGTTAACCAGCCTTCCCAGTCCTGAAGTTCTTCTGCATATAGTCCAGCCTCTTAGATTATATGCTCAGCCTGTAGATTGAAGAATAAGAGGATACAGCCCTGGCGCACACCTTTCCTGATTTTAAACCCCACAGTTTCCTTGTGTTCTGTTCAAATGACTGCCTCTTAGTCCGTGGACAGGTTCCGCCTAAGCATTTGTTTCGTGCATATGTTCTTTGAAGAGAGTGAGAATTATGCCACGTCCTAACCCCAGCTTCCCTAGTAGTCACTGAGGCGGCTGCAAAGGAGAGGACAGAGGAGAGAATATGCTGAGCGTCTCTCTGCTGGGTGCCAGGCACCTGTGAGGCACTGTATCTGGCACATTTGAGATTCGGTCTCCCTGCTCAAGGAGCATGCAGTCTAAGGAGCAGAGCCTTTCGGGCATCTGAAGCCACTGAGACGGACTGCGTCTCACTCCAGCAGCCGGCACAGTACTGTGGCACTTGGTTGTGAGGTGCCGGGGAGTCGATTCTCATTCATCACAGTCCCGTCTGACGGAGGAGCGCTGCCCCATGGGGTTTCCTAGACTGTTATTTTCATGGGAGGTCCCTGGATGGTGTGGTGTTAAGCAATGGGCTACTAAAGGGACAGGTTGGCAGTTCCAACCCACTAGTAGCTGTTCAGTAGGAGACAGGTACGACAGTCTGTTTTTGTAAAAGTCTACAGCCTTGGAAACCCTAGGGCCGTGGTTCTCAACCTTCCTCATGCCGCGACCCTTTCATACAGTTCCTCGTGTTGTGATGCCCCCAAACCATAACATTATTTTCATTGCTACTTCATCACTGTCATTTTACTACTGTTATGAATCAGGCGACCACCATGAAAGGGTCGTTCGACCCCCAAAGGGGTCGTGACCCATAGGGTGAGAACCACTGCCCTAGGGAACCTTGGTGGTGTAGTGGTTACCAGTTGGGCTGCTCACTTCGATGTCAGCAGTTCAAAACCACCAGCTGCTCCACAGGAGGACTGGGATTTCTACTCCCGTAAACCGTTACAGTTTTGGAGATCCACGGGGCAGTTCTACCCTGTCCCTTAAGGTCCCTGTGCGTCAGCATTGCCTTGATGGCGGTGAATTTGGTTTGAGGCTTGGAACCCCTATGGGACAGTCCTGCTTTGCCCTACAGGGCCACTCGGGGTTGGAATTGACTTGATGGCAGCAGGCAATCCTTATGGGAGCAGGTCCCCACAGAGCTACTGAGGGAGTTCCAGCCACCCGCCTTTTGATGAGCAGGGCCCCTGGCACCTGCTGAAACTCAGAATGAAGATTGAACTAAGGGCGTTCCGGGAAGTACTCAAGGCCCAAATCACAGAAGGAATGCCAAGGAAGAGGTGACCGTCAGCGGCCGGGTAGCGATGGATCACAGGGCAGTGGCCCTCAGAGCAGGTTTTAAAGGATGAGAAGAGAGAGGAGGGCATTGCTGGCAGAGGGAGGGGTCCCACCGTGCGCAGGCAGGACAGGACAGTGCTGAGCAGGTCCCTGGCGAGTGTGGGCCGGCTGTGGGGAGAGAGCTGGCCGTGGAGCTGAGCGGGTGGTCAGGGCCAGCCTGTGAAGGGCTTTGGAGGCAGGCCGGGGAGTTCAGACTAAGGTCCTGGTGCCAACAGGGAGCCAGTGGAGATGTGTAAGCTCTCCGCCTCTGTCAAGTTAGCTATTCACTCCAGAGCCAGGTCTGGTAGTCCCCCGGCCATTTCAACCTCCCGTTCCCTTTAATGACATTCACTCTGTCCCAGGAAGCCTAATTGGACTGGAGACCATGTGTGAAAAGCCTGCAGCCTCCAGGGCAGGCGGTTCTTCCTTTCCTGACGCTGTACTCAGCGTCCCATCGAAGCCGCCTGTTTATTGGGAGCTCTTCAGGTGACTTCAGTGCTCTGAGTCCCGGACATTTCGCTTCCTACATCTGCAGTTCATTTGTTAAGAGCCCTTCATGAGAAACTTCAAACAGTTTAAATGTCAATTACCCAAAAAGTGAGGTTTTCAAGTTCCAGTAATCTGCCTGTATTGGTCATCGGAACTTGATCCCAGGTGGGTGTAATTTAAGACAGATGACATTCCAGAGCTTCAGTTACAAAGAGTTACAAGTTCCCGTCTGTTGTCTCTGCACCCACAGGACCCTCTGTCCGCAGCCAGGGCCGGGGCAAGGGCTCCCTCCCACCGCTCAGTGCCTTCTCACTGACTCCACGTTGAATCCCGAGATCCCAGACTCCCATGCGCACAAGGATCAGAGAACCTCGTGAGTGACGTACACATCCCAACTAAGGAGCCGGTGCTCGGGGAGTGGTCTTCAGTGATGTGCTTTGTCATCAGTTCATTTGCAATAGCTGAGGTCAGAAGGCCCGCTTTCTTTCTTTTTTATTTCCATTGCTGAATTCTACCCCCACCCCACCTCCATGTTCCTTCCTTGGCCTCCATTTTTTTATTACCATAAAACGCCTGAAGAAAGCATTGAACTTGTGGCGTTGAGAATTTTTTCCTCCAGAAAGTAAAACTGGATGCATACCGGATGAATTCGCCTTGCATTGTTTCTGCAAGTCAGTCAGTGGGTCTTACCTCCTTAGCGGTTTGTGCTACAAGGTACGTATTTTTTGCCAGCTGGTTTAGTTTTCAACACTTCTAAGCCCGTGGCAAACAAACCTAGAAGATCTTTGGTCTTAAAACTGAAAATGTTTCTCTGTGTGTGTGTGTGTGTGTGTGTGTGTGTGTGTGTACTCCCATGAACACTTGAACTTTAAGTTCAGTTTTTTTTTAAATCATTTTAGTGGGGCTCATACAACTCCCATCACAATCCACACGTACACACTTATACAATCGCTGTCTCATCATTCTCAAAACTCGCTTTCCGTTTGGCAGTTTTTTTTTCGTTTTTTTTTTTTAAGACTTCTGTATGTAAGGCATTTGGGTAGAATTTTGCTTTGAATTTGAGATTTTAAGAAATAGTTTGGAGTAGTTAGAGTGAGCCACACTGAACTGACTTTGGCATTTGAAAGTGAGTCTGCCTTTTATACTCATTAAAAACACTAAGAAAGTAAGCTCCCCTCCACTAAGCATTCATAGTTCACTGCCTTTGAGAACAGAGGGGGCATTTTCAGTTCCGACGGTTCCAGAGCTCCACCCACAACAGAAATGCTATAGCTGCATATTCGTTGACCTGCAGCCATCCATCTCCAAAATCCACCCTCACTGCCAGCTACTGGATTCTGACTCACCGCCCCCTGCAGGACCGAGTAGAATTGCCCCAGTGGGCTTCCACAACCATAACTCTGTATGGGAATAGAACGTCGTTCTCCCTCGGATCGACCTGGTAGTGAACAGGCCATCATAACCGCTATGGCACCAGGGCTCCCTCTAGCCACCTATCTCGCCTGCCATAATTCATTTCCAAAACCAAAAAAATAGTCCTACAAAGCTAAATATACCTGAACATGTAAATTTTATGTTTTTTTCTGGTATTTACTAGCCCTGTTTTATAGGCTTCTATGAATTGTTTTCTCTCAAAAGCAGTTCATCGGTACCGTATTCAGCTTGCTGCATGCTGTTAAACCTTCTATAAATGCACGCGCATTAAAGTGGACTGTTTACGAAACCCGCGGGGGCCTTTTTTTTTTTTTGCCTATATTGCTAACACAATCGCTTTTCCAAGTACAGTTATCTTCATGTTGTGAGCATATATACAAAACTGATGTGTAGCGTTTCTGATTGAACTAAGGAATTAAACTGTTTCCAGTAGTTAGTCTTCCACATGCAAGACTGACTGATACCCACAGAATGGGAAGCTTCATCAAAAGAGCCAGGTTCGGTTGTTTCACCAGCTTCCAGCTGTGAGCATCAGCTGCAGTTTCTTGTCACCTCTCTCTCCAGAGGGCCAACGCAAGGCCTTGCTCTGCTGTCCCTAAGTAACGCAGTAGAGGCCGTGGGAGTTAGTGATCATTTCATGAGTGGAAAAGTCCCCTGAACTTGGAAGAACCCGCCAGCCGGTGGTGAAAGAAATGTTCTCATCCTTTCCCTAGTGGCTCCTCACCTGTGAATTCTCACCAGGGCGGTAATAAAATGGCAGGAGCTCATTTTATATGAAACCATTAGCAGCCTGAGAACTTGGGACTTGCTGCCTCTCAGGCTTTAAGACACTGGAAGGTGTCTGTTACAAGCACCGAGGGCCCGAGAGCGGGCAGAACAGGCTTGTAAACCAAATTTTTAGGCTTTAGGCGGTAATCAGTTTGTAATATAGTTTAAAGTCTTAAGTTATCAAAAATGTAAGTGTTGAGGGCAAAGCCTACCAAACACCTGTCCATAAAGGGCTGTAAAGTTTCCAGTGGTTTTGTGTTCATGATTGCGAGACTGCTAGTTTCAGTGGGTTTCTGCCTACACATATTGGGGTGCCTGGGGAGGGACAACATTGTAAATGTAACCAGTTAGTAAAGGGGGCTGAATATGCTTGTACCTCAGTGTCTTCATTTGCTAATGCTACTGTAACAGAAACACCGCAGCAGGGCAGCTTTAAAGGACACACACTTAGTTTCTCATAGCCTGGGAAGGTAGAAGTCAGAATTGGGGGCTCGGGCTCTGGGGGAAGGGTTCCTTAGCTTGGAGAGAAAGTCCTTCTCGTTCAGCCTCTGGAGCCAGGTAGTCCTCAGTTCCTCAGAGCTCCTCCCGTGACATAGGTCATGCCCCCATTGTGCTTGTGCCTGTGTATGTGCATGGCTCCTTGTAACAGCAAAAGTGATTAGGGTTAAGACACAGCCTACACACAAAAGGATCCCTAGTGACTCTGTAGGTTACAGTTGGGCTGCTAACCACAAGGTCAGCAGTTTGAAACCACCCACTGCTCCATGGAAGAAGGATGAGGCTTTCTACTCTCGTAAAGAGTTACCGTCTTGGAAACCCATGGGCACACATCTACCCTGTCCCCTAGGGTGGTTGTGAGTAGGAATCCACTCCATGGGTTGGGTTTGGTTTGATTCTGAGTTGACTCTGATATGGCCTCAGATCACACCAACGGGTCTACGGATTGGGGCTCCAACCCGTTTCCAGTAAAACCTCACTGCCATCCAGTCCATGCTGCCGCATAGTGACCCTATGAGACAGGGGAGAACTGCCCCTGTGGGTTTCCGAGCCTGTAACTCATCTTTCTCCTGAAGAGGGGCCAGTGGTTTCAAACAACTGGCCTTGTAGCTAGCAGCCCAACTTGGCATCCACTGTCCTGGCAGGACACTTTTAATGCATAACTGTTAGAAAACAATTGCTTCCAGTGACGTGGAGGTTTTAGCTCAAAACAATCACTGTTGTACAGTCCCTGTCTCTCGGTTCTCTGAGTGGATTTCGGGGCTGAGACAGGTGTGTGTGGCAGGCAGGGCTCGTGGGAATAGGAAATCCCTCCCAGCGGCTGTGGTGGGCAGTGGGCTCTCTCTCATTAGATGCAGGGCTCCCAGACATGGAAATGGGATTCAGGTGCTCAGCCACCTGTGTGAATGACACAGCCCCTCCCAGTGGGGCAGCCCAGCCATCGGTGTTTTGGCTGCTGACCTCCCAAGGTGGCTTCTTTAACTGAAACCAAGAAGAAATCTGAAAGACAAGCCAAGGGTTCGTGAACATGTTCGGTAGCAAAAATAGTCCGCGGAATCTACCCGGGCATAATAACAGGTCCCAAGGCTTTGCCTACTGCTGACGATCAATGTGCCATTTTAAAATCTCAGTGACCTAATGAGCCCCCAACCCTTTGCCCTTCCTGACTACTGTTGGACCTTGCCCACGTTAGGTGTGTTCCCAGAATTTTTCCTGGCTGGCCCTTCAGTCTGGTCATGGTACTGAATGATGCCTCCTACCCCTGGGTCCTTGCATCTCTCTCATGACACAAGTCTCTGGCTCTATCCGCAGCCCTTCTCAGCAGAGGGCTGCTAGGAACAGTGCTGTACACGTCTCTGTTTGCATCTTTTCTCTCTGGCCAGTAGGAAGCATTCCTTGTCGTTCTCGCCAGCAACTCAGAAGGATCCCCACAGGGGAAATTGTCAAATATTTTTTTCCCTTCCTCTCAAGACCCGATTCTTTCCAGAGGGGACAGATGGGATTGGGCTGGAGAGAGAGGGCCCTGTGCCAAGAGACCATCTTTCGCTGGGAGGCACTGCTGGGCACCACGCCTCAGGGTGCCTGTGTTGAGCCTGGATTGTCTGGAACACATCCCCCTTCACCAAGGGGGTGGTGTGCTGGTCCTCTCTTGAAGATCGCAAAACATCCCGGTCCGTGCCGTTTTGCTGGCAGACAGTGCTTATCCATTTGAAGGCAGACTCTCCGCACGTGCACCTGCTCAAAGGCTCCACGAAAGGTAAGGCGCCTTCTCCAGCTCTGTGGTCAGAAAGATTTTTGCTCGTTCCCCCTGTTCCCTCTGAGAAGTCCCCAGGCTTGGTTGGCTGTGGCTCCTTAGGTAGCCTTGCTTGCTGCCTCAGTGCTCTGTACACTGGGAACGGAGGCCCAAGCTGGAAGTGGGTTGCTTGCAGTGTGCAGAAGGGCTTGGAAACGAGAGACACCAACCCTTCTTTGTCTTCCCAAGCAGCTTGGGCATTGCTTGTTTTAACGACTAGGTGGACCACTGACGTGGCGCTTTGTGAGAGCAGATGAGGGATATTGTCTGTCCCACTCTTTGACACCCTCTCCCCATCTCTGTGCCCCAGGGTTACCTGTAGTATGAGCATGGATGTGGAAGTTGCCCGTCCCAGGATGGAAGGCTGTTGGCTAGTCCAGTACCATCTCTGAAAGGGGTACTGTTTGGGAGAAAAGCATCAGGCTAGTAGGAGCCCCGAGGGTTCAGACAAACGCTAAAAGTGGAAGCTTCGGATCACTGGAAGGTTGACGTTGCCTCCTTTCCCAAGTGATGACTGAAGGAGCCCTGAACAAGAAGCGCGGTTGGTAGACTCTTTCTGAGGTCCCCAGAACCCCCCAAATGAAACCCACAGTCATTGATGTCTAAGTGACCCCACCGGGCGGGGCAGAATAACCCCATGGGGTTTCTGAGGTGGCCATCTTAACAGAAGCAGACCTCCATCCCCCTCTGCCTCTGAGAAGCTGTGGGTTCGAACCATCAACCTTTTGGTTAGCAATGGAGCACCGAACCATTGCACCCTCCGTGTTCCTCCTGACTTAGGTAAAAGGTAATGTTTTCGAGCACTCTTCCTTACGTCCTCCTTTCGTAGTTCACCTTTCTCCCCACTCCATCTGTCCTCTCGGTCCATCTGAGCCCTCTGGTTCCAAACCGCGCTCTGCCCTCTCCTCAGTCCTGGCCTTGTTCTTGGGGGAGACAATGCACACTGAGCTCTTCCTGTGTGCCAAGCTCTGTGCCTGGTGTGCCTATCTTACAGGGAGGCCCGGGAAAGCTAAGGGAGTTCCCCAAATGTGCACACCTTTACTGCCAGAAAAATGAGCAGGTCTATCTTGGAGAAAGTACAGCCAGAATGCTTCTTGGAAGCGAGGATGGCAAGACTGGGTGTCATTTTGAGCATGTTATAGACCTGTAAAGGGCCAGCAACAAAGAGGAAGGCTCTTCATGAAAGGACTCAAGACGGTAGCTGCAACAGTTGGCTGAAGCGTAGGAGCCGTCCTGAGGCTGGTGCAGGATTGGCCGTGTTTCCATCTGTGGTCCATGGGGTCGCTCTGAGTGCGACCAACTCCACAGCACCGCACCTGCCAACAACAACAAGGGATGGAGCAGGACTGGGCCCTGTTTCTGAACCCTGTTGTGGAAGTGTGGCATTGTCTAGCCTGGGCACCTTAGGAAAGGAGGATTTTTTTCCCCCTGTTGCCAGAGAAGATACTATTGTAAATTGCTCATAAACTGGGACTGATTTATCAAACTGCGTTGAAGTCACACCATAGGAATCATGCAAGCCGTTAGAAGGATAAGGTCGTTCCCCTGAATGGGGGAGGAGATTGGTGTCCCCCTCCCTGTTAACAGTGACGAAAAACTACACTAATCTTACTTTTCAAGTAGTTGGTTTTTTGTTTGTTTGTTTTGTTTTTTGTCGTGCCACTAGTTTTAATGAATCTTAGCAAAATTACAATTTACTGTGTTTGGGAAAGTGAAGAGTAAATGGTACAGAGAGTTTTAAATAACCCATTATAGAGTAGGCCATCCTCCTTTGAGAAGCATCTAGTACTTTACTTTCTTCTCTTTAAAATAGCACAATTTAATAAGGATGTCCTTCATTGACTATCTGGTGGTTGAATTTGCAGTCCAACATCGCTTTTAGGATGTGGTCCTGAAGTGGAAGAGGCCATTGGATGTCTTCACAGTTAACAGATCTAAATAACGAACATGTTCAATTGTTCAGTTGTCTGCTGATTCAGCACTTCTACTCTCGATTTCCCCAAACTGGAAATGAGTATTTTTTTACTATTAGAAATTTGAAAGGAAACTATTAGAAAAAAACCTGGTTTTCTTTCTTTCTTTTTTTAAAAATCATTTTACTGGGGGCTCGTACTCAAGTAGTTGTTTTAAGGCCCTGAAGAACAAACAATGAGGTGAAACTGGAGGAGAAGCCCCCCTTGAGAGCCAGGCTGCAGTGAGTAAGGGTGACACACTGGTGGCTCTTTGCCAGAGGCATGCCCAGATCCACAAGGCTCCAGCGACCAAAAAAACTGAGGCGTTAGAGTAAGGTGACCAGATGTCCCGCTTTTTTTTTTTTTATCCTTTATTTTTTAAAAATATTTTATTAGGGGCTCATACAACTGTTATTGCAATCCATACACACATCAATTGTGTAAAGTGCATTTGTACATCATTCTCAAAACATTTTCTCTCCACTTAAACCCCCGACATTAGGTCCTCATTTTTCCCCTCCCTCCCCGCTCCCCCCTCCCTCATGAGCCCTTGATAGTTTATAAATCGGTATTTTTGTCATATCTTGCCCTGTCCGACGTCTCCCTTCACCCACTTTTCGGTTGTCTGTCTCCCAGGGAGGAGGTCACATATAATTCCTTGTAATCGGTTCCCTCTTTCCTACCCACTCTCCTTTACCCTCCCTGTAGGACCCGATTTTTAATAATCTTTCCCGCATCCCGTGGTGTTTTAAAAAAGTCCCGATTTTTTAAAAGAAATGCACGACAAGGTAGGGTATACGGTTTTCGACTGCCCTGTGGCTATTTCTCCAGGATATGAGTTTTATCAATGGTGTCCCGCTTTACCATTGTTAAAATCTGGTCACCTTATCAGTTAGAGGGCAAAGTTAGAGGCTAGGAGAGCCAGAAAATTGGTAGAGAACCCCTAGAAGGGAGGCAGCTACAGAGACCTTGAACCCCCAAATATGCTTGTAAAATGGTGCAACTCGTTGACTGCAAAACTGTATGTGGTGCTCTCTGGAGGCAGAAGCAGCAGTTGCTGCTCCTGAAAGCAGAAAGCACAGTGTCAGCTGCTGCCCTCCGCAGGAGAGGCAGTTTGATGTTTGTATCAGCCCAGTTAGCTATCTGAAAGGACAGAGCTCACTTTGCAGAGGAATGTCCCGAGTCCCGGGTCTCTGAAACATGTCGTTCGCAGTGTCTAGTGTCCAGCCCTCTGTCTACCAGACATATAAAGAAACAGGGAAATGTGTATATCCTTCAAGGGGGAAGGAAAAGCGCCACACTCCAGATGCTGATGTTGTTAACAAATAGACTAGGACTTTAAAACATCTGTTCTGAGCTCTATTATAAATATGGTAGAGAACTCAATGGAGTATATATACCCAATGAATGAACAGGCTCTCAGCATTGAAATAACAAAAAAAAAGGTACACCCCTGCTGTCGAATCAGTGCCGAGAGGGCAGAATAGAGCTGCTCTAGAGGGTTTCCAAGCCTGTACATCTTTGTGGGAGCAGAAAGCCTCATCTTTCTCCCTCAGGAGGCATGGTGAGTTTGAACTGTCGACCTTGTGTTTAACAGCCCAGTGTTTAACCCACTACTCTCTCAGGGCTCCTCAAAAAGAACTTCAGTGTTCAGTACATTAACTACATGGAATATTTTATTAGATGGGTTAATAGAAGACTGGAAACATGGGAAGAGTCTGTGAACTCAAAGATAAGCCAGTAATACTCCGCTTGAAGAAAAAAGAGAACCGATTGAAAAAATGAGCAGAAGTTCAGAAAACATTAGAACAACATCAAACAGTTTAACAGGCAGAATTGTTGTTTCCGAAGAAAAAAAGAAAGTGGGACAGATAACTATTTGAAGATGCAATAATCATAAACGTCTTTAAATTTGATATAATACTTAAACTCATAGACCATTCAGTAACCCCTAGCCAGATAAACTTAAAATGTGCGCACACACGAGAATCACATAGTGGAAACAAAAGTAAGGAGAAAATCTTGAAAGCAGTCAAAGAACAAATCGCACAAAGGGAACAATAACAGCAGCCTTCTCACCAGAGACAATGAAGACGATAAATAAATTGACGTCTTTAAAGTGGTGAAAGGAAAAGGAAAAGTCAACCCAGAATTCTAAGTCCTACTAGCAGATCTACCCTTCTAAAAGGAAGCCAAGGGAGGGATAGGAGATGATAGATGGAGGGAGGCTAGGGGGTGCGTGGAAAAGAAGAACCACATTTCCGTGGCGGGGGCGGGGCGGGATTGAATGAGATATTCTTACTGATTTTATTTGTTGAGATGGGTTGTGCAGCTACATAGAATATGCTTCCCTTAGGGTTAGGGTAAAAAAAAAAAAGAATATGCTTCCTTAAAAACCAACAAATAAATTTTAAAATATTTTTAAGGAAAAAAAAAATTAAGGAGAGTGAAAACTCACAACCTGAAAACCCTCCTGATTCCTTATCCCTTGGATCTAAGTCGTGGTCTGAGTGGCTGAAAAGGAGGAAAAGTAGAGCTGAAGTGGCCCTGGGGGCTTTAGTGACATACAAGTTTAAAAAAAAAAAAAAAAAGCCAAAAGAAGGACTTTTATTAGGTAAACAAAAATGGAGAGAAGTTTTCATAAGGGAGCGGCGCTGTCAGAAACACTAAAGGACGTTCATAGGCTAATGAGCTGTAACACCAGCTAGTGACTCGGCTCTCTAAGACCGAGTGACCACCAGCAAAAACGACGACGAGAAGCATGAGCCACCTGTTTCGACAGGAGTGTGGAGCAGCAGCATCTATGTAACAGTTGCTTGTCTGGGTGTGCTAGATATCGGCGTTCACTAGCTCTCACAACAGTCCTGTGAAGTGGGTGGGTTCTAAGCTCACTTTACAGAGGTCAAAGGTGAGGCACAGAGTAACTTGCCCAAGGTCACACAACTAACCTGACAGGTATAGGATTCAAACCCAGCCTTCTGATCCCAGAGACTCTTGTCAATGACTTTGCTACCAGTCTCTGAAGATAAACGATTAGACAGACCGAGCACTGCACCCCGAGTGGTGAAAATACGAAGATCGCACATTGCTTTATCCAGGAAAGATGTTACACAGGGAGCCATTTGGCCTTGGGGTATGGAGAGGAGACTAAATTTGTTGTTTGTGCCTTTGTAGATCTTCTGAATGCACATTGTTTATGTCTTTAAGAGGCGCATGTGTCATGTTTTCTTTAAAAAAAATAAATTTTGGGTGCAGGCCAGCGCGGTTACAGGAGGGTCCTGCGCAACGGCTTCGAGATTGGAGGACCTCGTGTGGGAATCTGCAGGGGGGACCACGGAGCTGCCTGATGCCCACCCGCTGGGGAGAACGACCACTTCCTGCCCTTCCCGCCCTCAGTTCCTGCCTCCCGGAGGTGGAGGAAACGCCTTGGCAGAGGTCTTCTCCAGCAGAACCAGAGATGTCATCAGTGGATTTCAAAACCTACGTGGATCAGGCATGCCGAGCCGCAGAGGAGTTTGTTGCTATCTACTACACCGCCATGGATAAGCGGAGGCGTGCGCTGCCCCGCCCGTACGTGGGAACAGCCACCCTGGTGTGGAATGGAAATGCTGTTGCAGGACAAGAATCCTTAAGTGAGTTTTTTGAAATGTTGTCTTCCAGTGAGTTCCAAATCAACGTGATAGACCGTCACCCTGTTCACGATGAAGCCACACCAAGCCAGACCACAGTCCTGGTTGTTATCGGTGGGACAGTGAAGTTCGAAGGCAACAAACAACGGGACTTCAATCAGAACTTCATCCTGACAGCCCAGGCTTCCCCCAGCAACACTGTGTGGGATTGCAAGTGACTGCTTCCCGTTCCAAGACTGGGCCACCTAATGGGGAGGGACGGCCTCTTCACTTACCCCCAAGACTGGGGAGCACCAATTTTGAGATGTGGGACACATAGTTGTTTCTGTTGTTCCACAAACAGTCTTGGACTTTGTGCCAAGAGGACACTTCCACATTTGCTCCAAGCCTAGTTTACAATAGTTGCCTTTTAATAGTATCAACCTTTTCTATCTTTTTTACTTGCCATGTAGAAATTTGGTTCTGGAAATTTAAAAAAAAACAAAACACAGAAAACAAACAAACAAAAATAAATAAATAAAATTTGAAATGCCATGGGATAACTGGGGAAAGTAGATACACTTAGCATGAGGTGGTGACATGATTTTCTGTCTCCCTTATAAAGAACGTGACAGAAATACAGAAAGCGTAGGGTGGCATTCAGGGTTCTGGGTTTCTCTCCTAGTTGGGCTGTTAACCACAAGGTCAGCAGTTCAAATCCGCCCGGTGCACAGGAGAGAGATGCGGCTCTCTACTCCAATGAAGTGCTACAGGAGCAGTTCTTCCCACAGGGTGGTTCGGAAACCCACAGGGGCAGTTCTACCCGGTCCGATAGGGTCATTGTAAGTCGGTAGCAGCTCAGTGGCAGTGAGTTTGTAGTGTCATCAACTTGACACTGCTTCCTCCAGTGAGAGCTGTGAAGAACGGTAGCGTTTTCTCTCACAGCCTTCTCTCTTTCTTACATCTTCTTGCCCGACACCTCAGCGCCCAAGGCTCTGGGTGTTGCCCTGAAATACTTGAGGGAAGCCACCCGTTCTCTAGATGAGCCCTGCACTTCCGGGTGCCCACACACTCTCCCTTAGTGTCACTGAAAGTAGAAGACCAGGGCCGCTGCCTGGGTTCTTCACAGGGAATGGCACCATCATTCGCTCCATCAGCCAAGCCAAGAGGGGCTCACCCTTGACTCAGCTTTGCAGTAACCCCAGCAACGTCAGTCAGCAGGCCCTTGCCCCCACCACGGAGCACATTCCTTGTGCAGGGTGCTCTGGGATCGCTGCCTTCCCCTCTGGTTTTTGGAGCCAGACAGTTGATTTTAAGAGGCAACGTTTAAAGGAAGAGGTTTTATGTAGTAGCCAATATGGCGAACGCTCAGTGCGCCTTGGATCGTATATTCTTGGCTAGCATGTGGATAAAACGATGGTTCTAGGGATGCCCCGGGAGAGTGGGAACGATCTGGCTCTGGATTCTCTCCATACTCTCACCTAATCCAGTAGAGTCACAGTGGCTATATGGAACACTAGCAAGACAGGTACGGAGACCTGGGCACAGGCTCAGTAATTTAAGCCTTTGGTCCTTCCAAATACCAGGTGCATAGGGACTGCCAGAGTTGGCAGTGCCTTGCTTCACCTGAACACAAGCAGGCTAAAGGAGTTGGCACTTATTAAGCGGCTCCTCTTCTCTGCATCCCTAGTGCTCCAGACAAAACCATCGTTAGTGGCGGCTCAAGCAGTGCTGTTGCTGCCCTAGGCCCTCTCTGCCAAACGAGCGCGCAGGCTGTGTGCTTCCTCTCCTGCTGGTGAAATCTAACAGAGAGAAAATTGACAAACCAAGGCCAGAAACAAAACTCCAAACCAAGACCTCCTCCTTTGGGGCTGCAAAGGTGACTATATTTTCAGAACCACAACTTGGTGTACATATATACCCTGAGTACATGTATGGAAGTGAAGAATCGACAGAACTATGTTTGAGACATTAGGATTAGCTGGGAATGTCTCAGGCCAGTCGTTACTGTATGAATAGTTGAAATTCTAGAGCCAACTACTTATAAAATGTGAAAAAGACTTTAATTACATAAAATCATCTGCTTGTAATCTCTTTTGAGGGCATGGACGTTTTTCATTAGTTCATTTGGTTGGGGTATTATTTACTACTCACAAAAATTGATGTTGCAAGAAAGCCCCCATCAACTTGAAGCCATTGTTCATTTTTCATACTGAGACCATCTCACAGAGTGGGCAATTGAGTGCTGACCTCATGTTTTGCTTGTCACATTAGGGTAAGGTGACCAGATTTGAACATTGGTAAAGCGGGACAAAAGTGGGACACCATTGATAAAACTCATATCCTGCGAAATAGCCACATGGCAGCAGCCGAAAACCGTATACCCTAGCTTGTCGTGCATTCTTTCCAAAAATTGGGACTTTTAAAATACCGTGGGATGCGGAGAAAATTGTTAAAAATTGGGACTGTCCCGCCAAAAGTGGAATGTCTGGTCACCTTACATTAGGGGTTTAAAAAGCATTTTGTGTGGAGATAAAACTATATAACACTATAGTTTTTGCATGCTAAATAAAGTTAAACATGCCCCTGAAAGTTCCACCAGCTTTGCTCTATAAAGGCTGAGAGCATTTTTGACACTCCAAATACCCCTGCGTGTTTTATTTAAATCCATATTTCCTTGCTTTAAGTAGCTTGAATTACTGTTGAGGATAGCAGAAAGGCCCTGTGTGTACGTACCGCTGTGTTTTCCCACGATGTTCTTTTTGAGCAGAGGTTGGACGGGAACATCGTAGCGGTGCCTTCTCTTTCCCACCCTCTGTTGAGCTGTGCTTCTGAAGCAGTGCTCCTAGCTGAGAAGGCTGCAGTATGCCCGAAACACCGCTGCAGTACACATGCAAACATCATCCACCAGGAAAAATTGAGTGTGGGTTTGAAGTTGACAAGTGATGAAAGTCGCCCTGAAGTTGTCAATTAGAAAGCGAAGGCCTGGAACTGATAACTTAATGGGCACTGCACCCCCGCTATTTTGTCTTGCGGCCTGTAGGGTTTTGACTGCCCTTGAACTGTGCACACACACACACACACAGATAGAGACGGCTACCCGTGTAAGTGCACGCATACGTGACTGTGAGGCGGGAGGTTAAAAAGCCCAACAGCTTAAGCAGTGGATGTATTTCCCCAAAACGTTTCCAATTTGGGAGGGGCGGGACATGACAGAAAGTCAGAAGTGCTTCTGTTTTGTTTCTCATTTACTGTTCTTCTAACACAGGCTTTTCATTAGTTGTTTTTATGAACTGTCACAACCAAATGGCACATGTAGAAAACAACGTAAGTGGTTTTTGTTTTTTTTCCTATTAAGTTTTCTCTGGAAATTCTTTGGCATTCCACCCAGCTGGGAGCCCTTTCTCTGATCACCAATCCAAACCTACAGCCACACATTGTTTGTGACTGATGCCGCTCCAGTGGACCTCATGAGCTTTTTGCCGAATTTGTTTTCAATGCGGCCTAATTAGCCATGTACAACCTGTGGCTTCAGCTAACCGGAGAAAGGTGGGAGCCCAAAGGTAGCAGCACTACTTACCCTTGGCTGCTGACAGTGGATTGATCGCCCCACAATCCATTCACCTAAAACAAGAAAGTTCGCTTTGTATCTTAAAAATAATCTTACAACACAGGAGGGGAAGAAAGTTATGAAATAAAAACTCATAGGCCAAAGAGTGAAATAGATGCTGCTCAGACTGGTGCATCGTGCTTTTCGAAAAACGAACCAAATGTCGAGGAACTGACATGGAAGGGAGGCCCCTCCCCGCACACACGTGGCCGGGATTGTAAAATCAACGGACGGACCACGTGTAACTCGTTGGTTACCACCGTGTTCAAGCTCCCCACAGGACACGTCTTGAGGAGGACAACACGCCCCTCCCCACCCCACCCCGGCAGGACCACCTGTACGTGATCCCGGTTCTTGGATCTAGAGAGATGCTCCTGAGGGAGAGTTGGGAAGAATCGGCCGTTTCTAGCCACCGACTATGAGCAGGTTTGGGTGGCAAGCCCCACCCTCCCCAGGGTGACAGCCTCAGGCCCTGCTCACTCGGACCCTTCAGTGCTGCTGTGTGGCTAATAAGAGCCACAGAGAAGCGCAGTCCTTGTGGCGTGGAGCGCGTTCTGGCTCATGACGAGACTAGTGCTGTGACAGTGGGTGGACTCCAGGGGGTTTTAGTGGCTGCTGTTTCAGAGGCGGGTGAGGTGAGTCAGTCTCTCTCTCTCTCTCTCTCAGTGCCTCTGGCCTCTCACCTCTAGCTTGTCCAGTAGTAGCTGTTTGCACCCACCAGGGACACCCTCTGCTGAGGATGGCCCTGGCGCGCTGTGACTGCCCAGTCCCTGTCAGCCCAAGCCAGGTTGGCTGGCAGGACTTGGCTGGGCTCTGAATACACGGGGTGTAAAAACAAGGCCATTGGCTCATTTCATAGCCTGCAGTGGACTCGGGGGAAGTTTGTTTGTTTGTTTGCTGGGCGGAGGGGTATTTTTGAGGTGGTTTTTGGCCTGGAATCAATCACCAGCCAGTCTTTCACTTTGAATCGCTTGGCTTTTCTAGAAAGAAAAAGCTATAGGTCCATACCAAGAGACTAGAAGGCTCTGGAGCCTCCGTTTCCATCTTGCTTCCAGAGCTGACTCATAAAAAAAAAGAGGAAGCTGATTGCCATCAAGTCAATTTTGATCCACAGCAACCAGATAGAGAGAGCCCCGATTATACATTGAGGTGCTAACTGCAGCATCAGCAGTTCAAAACCACCAGTCACCCCATGGGACAAAGTTGAGGCAATCTATTCCTATGGAATTAGTCTTCGAAACACAGAGGGCCAGGCAGTTCTACCCCAGTGAACAGTAATGGCATGTTTTCACTACAAGCCATAGCTACTTATAGCATGGTTCTGGTGATAAAAGCCCAAGTTTCATGGGAATGAAACCATTTTTTCTGAATAACCACTTTTTTTCTCTTTTAAAATGCCCTGTTCTTTGGACTTCTCATCAGCATGATTTACTGTCTGTCTTCATGGTCTAGTTGTCTACAGTGTGTCCCCTGGCGTCTTGCCAATGCCCACATCTTCAAGGTAGTGGGGCGGACGAACACCAGGCAGAAAGGGAGGTTTCAACAGTTGGAAGCCCACATCCAGGGACACGTGTGTTCCTGAGACATTTTCAGGAAGTTGTCTCAATTTATATCTTTATTCATTATTAC